GTAGGGTCCATGAAGCTTAGACTCAAGGGCTTTTTTAATATCCCTTGAGTCTAAGCTTCATGGACCCTACACTTGGACACTGAGAGTTGTACTTAACATCTCTTGGAGACATCATAAAACAAAATCACAGCTGTGTGGACCCATCCCTGATAGTATCTGTCTATATTTCTGAGATGAGGCATTATGTACATTATTTACATTATTTGGACTATTGTCCTCATCTTTGACACCATATTTATTACAATGTTTCAGCCGTTGTACGCTCCATCCTTCTTCAGGTAGTTGGAAGTGGAAAAATCAGGTGTGGCTGACCACATATGGAGAGAGAAGGGAGATCACTGCCTTCTGTGGGATCAGGTTGAGATCATAGACAAAGAAAACCACTAAAAAATTCGCTAACTTAAGGAATTAGCCCATATGCTAGGCCACAAAAATATGAGCCAACCAAGCATAGAAATGAATACAATATGGGAACCAGTAATAAGGAGTGCCAGAGAAAAGCAATAATAACAATGAAAATTGAAATATGAGCTCTGGTATAAACATGCAATGATAACAGCAAAAATTGCAACATGAGCACTGGTAAAAAATGGCTGCTGAAGACATTAGGTTTATAATACCCAGAAATTTATACACAGATGTCCTCATGGACACATGGCAGAGTGGATAAAGGTGTTAGTTAGTGACAGGGCCTAAAGAGTGTGGGTTCAATTCCTGGTTAAGGCGGGGTAGAATGTGGAGAGGGGAATTAACTGACATCCATTAAACATGACACGTGGAACTAGAACAGTCTACCCCAGTGAGCGACATAAAGGGTTCAGTTCGACATTCCAACCATCCCTGATATTTCTACAATTTTACATGATTGCAATATGCACATTGCAGGACATCATAGGCAAGCAAAACAAGAACTTGTGAGTAATCTAGTGCTCTGGACCCCTAGCCATGGTAAAAGACAGGTTGGTGATTGGTCATCCACCAATATTGGCCAACTATGTAGAGACACAAGATTTCATAACAATGACCTTCCAACCTTGATACACATCCATAATGGATGATGTGTTGTCTCATGAATGTCTGAGCTAGCTCATTTGAATAAAAATTAATTTTATCAAAATATATAGGACACATAATGAGGAAAACGTGACACTTTTGTAAATGTTTAGCAGAACAGGGTTTAGGAGATATATCAAAAAGAAAATCTTTATTAAAGGCTACAAAGGGCAGGAAGTTGTGGTGAGCCATACAAAGGTATCTCAACTGGAAAATTTGACAGATTGAAAAGAGGGACAGAGGGGAACAATGCAAGACTCTTGCCTAATGAGCTTGAGTAAATCGATGCCAGAACATGTTTAGAGGAGATAACAAAAAGACAAAATTTATTAAGAGCTACAAAGGACAGGAAAATGCAGAGAGCCATGATCTCCAACATCCAAAAGGGACATAAAAGGAGTGAATTCATTTTGCAATCACAGCCATTTATATGAAATGTCAAGAATTTTAAAATATCAAATTAAAAACTATTTTGCAAGTTGTTAAATTTAAAATAGGCTGATACGATGAATAAAAATGTAATTTTTTTATATCTTCAGACATTGTAGAGGGATAAAAACCAATAAAAATATATGAAAATTATCACAGATCTGTGGAAAGGTTCATTGAAGACCCTGAACAACTTGGGTGCCAGTCTGATAAGGACAAGTTGAGGAATTTATCTTGTTGGTTTGTGTTCTGTATCAAGAGAAAAGTTACAAGAAAAATTCATTTGGTGACAAGCAGTAATAAATTATCAAAAAAAAAACCCCCAAAACTGTGGTGGTGGTGGTGGGGGGTCCTAAATCAAGTGCTAAAGTCTAACTCTGGATGAATCGCAAATCAAATTAAATAGATGAAGAGAGATTATCGGTGGATACTGGTGCATAACATCTACAAATGTGGAGCTTTTTTGATCATATTATAAGTGTTGAAATGGTGGGCTCATGGTGATTGTAGATGTTGTTAAAATAAGAGCTCAAACTTTCTTTTTATGTGCCATGTCCTTTCAGGACGTAGGTGATCATGGCTCTCCACCTCTCTATATCCCTTGTAGCTCGCCAACAAGCCCCTTCCCTCTGCTTCCTCCCTCAAACCACGTTCTGTCATCCACCTGCTCAAGCTCGTCAGGTATGTTACATGCTGCTTTTCATTATCTCTCTTTTCATCTATTTGACCTGTGAGTATCAGATTCTCCATGCCCTCCTTCCTCATTATGTGTCCCAAGAACTTCAGCTGCCTCTTTCTGATGTTAAGTATAAACCTTCTCCTTGTTTGTAATATTTCTAAGACCTCAGCATTGCTCACATGCTCGGTTCATGATATCCTTAGCATCCTTCTGTAGACCCACATCTCGATCGCCTCAAGTTTCTTCTTCATCTTTGAGGAAATTGTCCAATATTCGCTGCCATAAAGAAGAACAGATGTCATGTCACATCTCAGTATTCTTTTCTTTGTTACCAAAGAAATCCTGCTGCCTTGCATTACTCTGCCCAGCTTTTGGAATGTGTCCTTGACCATTCCAATATGTCTATGGATCTCAGTGTCACACTTACCATCCTCTGTCAAGATGCTTCCCAGATATTTAAACTTCTGCATCTGTTTGATTCTAGTGTTCCCGACCTGCAAATCGCATTTCGGGCTCTTCTTCTTACTGATGACAATGCATTCTGTCTTGTAGTTTATGCTTAGTCCTTTCTTCTCCCTCTCCACCGCTACCTTCTGTAGGAGATTTTGTAATTTCATTTCCGTGTCTGCTATCAGTACTGTGACGTCTGCGTATCTTATGTTGTTAAGATTGTAGCCACCAATGCTAAATCCCAGTAGGGTTTTCAATTCTCTCAGAATTGCCTCGCTGTATAGGTTGAACAGGTCAGGTGAGAAGTCGCATCCTTGCCTCACACCCCTTTCTATTTTTGTATATTTAGTGAACTCGTTCCATATGTGTATGCATGCTGTTTGCTCTCGGTATGGGTTCTTGATTATTCTGATATCCCTCTTGAATATATACTTTGTCGTAGGCCTTTGCGTAGTCTATGAAACATAGGTACATGTCCTTCTGCATCTGTATCACTCTTTCTGATAACATTCTGAGCATGAATATCGCATTCCTTGTTCTGGTGTCTATTCACCAGAATATAGATGATGAGTTTTGTCATGGGGTTCATTAGGCTTATTGTTCAGTGGAGTTTGCATTTGTTTATACCTGATTTCTTAGGCATATCTATGAAGATAGATCTGCTGAGGTCTTCCTGTATATCCCTGCTATTGTAGATTTCATTTGTTATTTTGGTGATCTTGTTTATGTCAAAGTCATCTCAGGTTGTCAGCATTTCCGCTACAATTCTGTCTGACCCAGCTGCTTTGTTTCTGTTCAATTTGGTCAGTGCGGCTTCTACTTTGCTTTTCAGAATTCCAGGTCTGTCAGTAGTTCTCTGTATTACTGGTTGTTCCCTTTCGTTGTGGAAGAGTTCTCCAATATACTTGCTCCAGCATTGAAGAAATTTTCCTTCTCTAATATGAGCATTTCATCCTTTGCTTTTAGGTGGCCTGTTGACAAGCATGTCTTCTGTCTCACCGAGCTGTTTGCCAATGGTCTTGTAGCCCATTCTAGTCTTGTGCAGGTATACAATTTTGTCCCAGATGTCCTTAGACAATTCTTTCGCTTTGCCCATTATGGAGAGATTAGATTCTGATTCATTGAAGGATTCTGTGAACTAGTGTCTTTTACACAAGTAATGAGTTCTTGATTAGGAGTAATAATTGAGTAATAGGACTAGTCTATATGCCTCCTGGTTACATAACCAATCTGTGGGGCCTAAATCATTACTGGTTGGTAGGGGGTGAAATATTTATTTTTTTTAATAAAAAAGAAATAAATATTCAAAAATTAATATAATGTGATTTTCTAGTTTTTTTTTTATATTCTATCTCTTCACTTTCAAGATGGACCTACCCTGAAAATTATAGACCGTTCCTATTTTTGTAAGGTGTCAAACTCATAAAATCATCAGGGGATGAAATACTTATTTTCTCTACAGTACATTGATTTTTTTCACATGGAGCCCGAATAAAATGGTTTTCAGAAACACTTGTTTGAAATGTGTGTCGTCATTTGTTTACATTTGGATATGCCATGAGCAGATATGAATGTATGTGAGAGAATCATGGAAGATTGTAATTTAAAAACAGTAAAATTGACCTTGCTAACCGAATGCTCCTTTGTGGCCAAATCAGTTAAAGGCATGTCAGGCTGTATGATGTTTCCGTATAAGATACAGGTTCGATTCCTGTCAGAGGACGAATATTTTCTATGAAAATTTCTCGGACATTCAGGCCGGTAAATGTTGTTTAATACTGTTTATTATAAACAGAGCATTTACTTAAATATTTGTATCTATAAAAACAATGTATAGACATAAAAATTTCTTAAAAATTAGATACATGTTGTTATAGTCACTCTTAGAACAAAATAAATTACTTTTGAAAATGTGATTGTGCTTAAAACAGAAAACCATGTGTTAAATGTTTTCTTTTGGGGATCTTTCAGTGATAAAGTTAAGTCTTGAATGTTTGTTCAATAAAATTGGTAACATCAACAAAAGAATACCAAAATATTTTTGAGAAGAGCAAAAAGGAAGACTAAAAGACAAAATAAACTGGTGCCATCCAAAAGATATAGTGAACGAGGAAAGAACATTATCGTTTCTTAAAAAACAAACAAAATAAAGATGGAGCAAACAAAAGCGAAATCCCAGAGTTCTTTGCGAACATTCATTTCTTGAAGGCAGAGAATTAAAGTTTGAATTGTCATCAATGTGCCATTCTCAGACGTCATGGCACCAGAGAGCTTGGGGGAATTCTAGATTTTTGCAAAGTGTCATTGTACAATCTGAAATCTGCTTCTACCAGGGTATGGAATTCTAGGTTTAGATTTTGATAACTTTGATATGACAAGTGCCTTCGATATGTTCCTGTTGCTTGAGAAATTTGGTTCTATTCACCTCTCTCTCTCTTTCTCTCTCTCTCTCTCTCTCTATCTCTCCTTCTCTTTCTCCTTTTCTCTCTGTTTCTGTCTGTTTCTTTCTATTTTTATACCTGCTTCTCTCTCTCTCTCTCTCTTTCTGTCTTGCTCTCTATTCGTCTCTCTTTCTGTCTGTTTCTTTCCCTCTCTTTCTGTTTCTATTCTGGTTTCTCCCTCCTTTTCTGTTTTTGTCTCTTTTTTCTTCCCCCTCTCTCTCTTTCTGTTTCTTCCTATTTTTCTCCCTGTTTCTCTCTCATTTTTTTCTGCCTTGCTCTCTCCCTTTCTGTTTCTTTGCCTCTCTTTCTGTTTTTCTTACTGTTTCTCCCTCTCTCTTTTTCTGTTTTTCTTTGTTTTCCTCTTTCTGTTTTTTCCCTCTCTTTCTGTTTTTATACCTGCTTCTCTCTCTCTCTCTCTCTCTCTTTCTGTTTTGTTCTCTTTTTCAGTTTCTTTCCCTCTTTCTGTTTTCTCTCTCTCCCTGTTCCTGTTTTTCTCTCCCTCTTTCTTTTTCTCTGTCTCTCTCTCTTTTTATTTATTTCTATTTTTCTCCCTGTTCTCTCCTTTTCTGTTTTGCTCTCTCTTTTTCTCTTTTCATTTCTTTCCCTCTCTTTCTATTTTCTCCTTGTTCCTCTCTCTCTTTTCTGTTTCTTCCTCTCTTTCTATTCCTGTCTCTCTCTCTTTGTTTCTTTCTTTCTCTTTCTGTTTTTCTCCCTGTTTCTCTCTCTCTTTTTGTTTCTCCTATGCTTTTCTCTTTCTTTTTTTTCTTTGTTTCCTTCTCTTTGACCTTTTGCTTTCTTTCCCTTAATTCTTTTGAATTTTTCGATTTTTCTTCTTGATATGTAGGCATAATATCAAGCTACATACTATGTCAGGTTTTATTATGCAAATCAATGTTTTCTCAATAAATTTGCTATTAACCTATTGATTTTGTTTGTATGCGTATATTCATATGTGTGCGTGCCTGTATGTGTGTGCGTGTGGCTGTATGCATGTGTTCCTCTGAATGTATATGTTTGTTCAAATTTGTTCTTTTCTTACTTTTGTCTTTCTCTCTTTCTTTTCCCTCTTTCTCTTAATGTTTATTTTTCACCTTTTTTTCCTCTTCACCTTTGAACTTCTCTGAGCTCTTATTTATATTTCACCCCACTCTCTCTCTCCCTCTCTCTCTCTCTCTCTCTTTCCTCTTCTTCTAATTATTATTCATTTGATGCAATAATGTCTTCATTGTCTTCTTTCCATCTTTCACGATATCATGGAAACATTTTCACTATCGTTAATATTCAGCCATTCTTGACATTTTGTCTTTTTTCTTTCCTTCCCATTTTCAGTGTTATCATTTTTTTTTTTTACTTCAATTATCAATTCTTTCCCCTTTTTTTTACTTCGGTTTAAAGAAGTTTATTTGTTTTTCATTCATTCTGGTACTTTTTAATGATTTGCCCTTTTTCATTTTTTTCTCATTTTATTTGTTTTTCCTCTCTTACTTTCTTTTCATTCTTTTTCTTTACTTGTCTTTATTTCTTTATTTCTTTCCCCTTTTTCCACCTTTTTCTTAATATTTTCATACTTTCTCTTTCCTTTTTTATTGTTTCTTTCTTTCTTCAATAAACTCTTTCTTTATCCCGTTTGCTTTTATTTCTTTCTTTCCCATTGTTTTCATATTTTTCTTTCCATTTTCACTTTCTTTTTTATTGCTTACCCTTTTTTATTATTTATTTCTTTTTTATTGTCTGTTCTTTCTTTCCTTCCTTCTTTCTTTCCTTCCTTCTTTCTTTCAACTCCTCTCCATTCATTGCCTTGTTTTTCTCCCTCCTTCACTAATACATAATTTCCTCAATCCCTATTCCTCTTTCTCTTCCTGCTTGTGTCATCTGTTCCTTTACTTCCTGTTCTCCCCGCCTTGAAAATCCGACCTCAATAAAAAAAAAAAAAAAAATCAAAAAGTTTCCATGGCAATAAACGATTTCAAGGTTAATCATTTCTCCTGCTTTAGTCAAAGAAATAATCATGTCTGCAGTAAGAAAAAGGAAATTCTCTGTGAAGACATTTAAGAAACAATTTTAAAAAAGTAAATATAAGTGCAAAATGATTTTTTCATACAATTATTGCAGGAACATTTCAATTTGAAATCTGATCTGCCCACTTGAGTCTTAGATTATTTAAAATTTAAATTCATTGAAAAATTTGATTGATCTAGTTTCTAATCTATCAGAAGCTTAAATCTATTTTGGGTTCAAATCTAAGTGAAGCTGAAAGAATTATTGGGCTTTAACAAAATGAAATATTTTATCAATGAGAAAGGTCAAGATTAAAGTGAATGAATTGTGCTAGTGAACTAAGTGAACTCTAACAAAACAAAAATTTAATATTTTGCACCAAAATAGAAATTGTCATTTTTGTTATGACAGAAGTATGAATTGATCAGCTGAGAGCAACAAAAAAAAAAACTGTTTATAAGTTCATTCATATTTTTAGTTAAAACTAAATATAAAATAATGTGACAATTAAATGAATGAAATTATCACTTGTTTATAACTCTGGGCCTGTGTTAGTAGCTGGGCTTGTGATTGTTCTTGGGTCTGTGTTAGTAGCTAAAATTGCAATTGTTTTGGGGCCTGTGTTAGTAGCTGGGCTTGTGATTGTTCTTGGGCCTTTGGTAATACCTACATCTGTGTTTATTTCTCATCCTGTGATAATTCCAATAAAGCAAAGATTAACAAGCTGACTTCATCTTTTTATGTAGAACATGTGATCCTTTCTAGATGTGTTACAACTGTAGCCTTGCACCAGACATAACTAAGCTTATGTGTGGTGAGTAGAGTATATAAAATGATAAAAGCTAGAATTTCTGTGATGATTCTCAAGTAACTTGGCAGATTGACTCAACACAACCTTTAAATTACTCTGTATATATGATGTAAATTAGTTGAGGGGCACCCAGTGAGCATCACTCTCATTACTCCATAGTAATGGTCAACCAGATTAGCCTTGCTAACCATTAGCTTATGCTGAGGTACCTATTTGTAGTAGTAGTTTGTAGATATGGCTTCTTCTTCAATGTGCCATATTCTTTCAGGATGTATTTGATTTTTTTGTGGTTCTTTATAAATTTTGTCCTTTTCTTATCTCTCCTAAACCTTATGTCTTATCTCTTCATACAACCTCTTTGCCCTAGAACAATCACTCCATTTGTTTCTTTTTATTCTACATGCAATCTTGCTTAATCCCAGATTCTGTAAGGTTTCAAATGCAAGACGTTCTAAGGGTAATAAATCTGTTTCAATCCAGTGCAATATTTCATCTTTTGAATTACCTGGTCTTTCTAATGGTTCATTGTTGAGCTTTAGTCTTGATAGAATATCTACATGTGGAATAGTCTTTCCTGTCACATATTCAATGTCAAAATCACAGGCCATGGGCTTTATGGCCCATCTTGAAATTCTTGAAGATGTAACTTTAGGTAACTCCTTCCTGGGGTTAAAAATAAACTCTAAACGTTCATGGTCAGATTTAAGCAAAAACTTCCTGCCTAATAAAAATTGGTAAGCTCTGTCTTTGTTCTATATGATAGCTAAGACTCTTTTTTCAATATTTGAATAGTTAGCCTTGGCTGAAATTAACCTTCTAGAAATTTACATTATAGGATGGCTTTGTTGAGACAAGGTTAATGATATAGCACATTCACTTGTGTTTGTAATTAAAGTCACTTCCTATTTAAGGTCAAAAAAATCAACAACAGGATTTTGTATAAGTTCTTTCTTTAAACTTTCAAATGTAGTATTCTACCAGTGAATCCATTTAAATTCATGATTCTTTTTTTGTATCTCACAAAGGTTTCTATCAATTCACTATACTGTGGCAAATATTTGCTTTAAAAAGTTCCTAACTATAAAAAGATTTAAATTCAAATATAATGTGATTTTCCTAGAATTTTTTTTATATTCTATTTCTCAATTTCAAGACAGACCTACCCTGAAAGTTTCTATTGACTGTTTCTATTTGTGTAAACTCGGAAAATCAGCAGGGGATGAAATACTTATTTTCCCCACTGTATATATACATATACAGGGTGTAAATTGTCGCCATTTTATATTTTCTAATTTTGTGCATGTATGTTGTTTGTTTTTGATTTTGTCAACTGCACAGTATAGTAGGGTCAGTTGGGCACCATTTGTGAGAAAAAGAGCACCATGATGCAGTTTACACCACCAGAAATTTGGAAAAAGCATGCTGTATTGCTTGGCATTCATACCAGAACTTCCAATATCAACATTTCAGAGTGTTTGAGTATCAATCTGAGAACTGTACAGAGTATTCGGAAAGATTTCAATGAGTCTAACGGTAACTATGAAATGTTTAGAGTGATCACTAATGATGGCAATGTTATGTCTCCATTCATCTACCCACAGAAACTCAGATTTAAAATCAAGGCCTATATGAAGTGTCTTGAAGACATAGCATTGTCCTGGGTCAAGAGGGTGGCTGCTGGAAGACCTTGTGTCTGGCAACAGGACTCTGCAACATGCCATGCAAGCAGGAGAACCCAGTCATGACAGTCAGACAATTTCTGTGACCACATCACCCCTTACATCTGGCTACATAACTCTCCAGACTGCAACACCCTTGATTATTATGTGTGCGGTGCAGCTGAGTGAGAGACCAACAAAACTCCTTGTAACACCAAAGATGAACTGAAAGCAAGGATTATAGCAGCATTTACCAACTTATACAAGGAGACCATCCAGAAGAGTTATAGGAGATTGTAAAGTCTTCTAGAGAACATGGTTGAAGCCAATGGCGATTTTATTGAATAAATTTACTCTTTAGTATTTCAAGATATTTTTGTGTAATTTTGGTAAATATAACTGTTAAAATGAGATGTCAATGTTATTTTCATTTTTGCATAATTTATATGACAATTTATCCATCGCACCCTGTATATTAGATTCAGTCATAAATTATTTCCATTTTTCATTATCAACTTAATTCTTCAAAAATAAAGTACAGCTACATTTTATTCAATTATATATTCATCATTATTTGCAATGACTTATCCGCATCAAAGCATTTTGCATCAACTGAAAAATGTAATTATCAATTGGTGATAATTACCAAGTGGGTAGAATGAATCAAGTTGCAAAATTGTGTCCTCTGTTATTCTTGTTTAATGTGGCCTTGCATTGTCATTGCAGTGAACAATATTTTTCCTTTAATCCATCCTGTACAATGGCATTGTTGTGCATAAAAAGAAGTATATCTCTGTGATCAATTTGAAGTAGTGACTGCATATAAAGGTAGAGTGTTTTACCCAGAAGTTATCTTCCAACTCCACTTCCAACTCATCTGAAATACCTCTGCCTGATTTTCCTCCTAGGCTACACTGAGTGACATGTGCATATTTTCTGGCACCTTCTTATTATATATATTAGTCAACTCAAATGCATTTTAAAACATTGCTACTATACTCATAATAAATTTTGTTCAGTATCTGTTGGTTGCTTTTGATATAAACGGCCTCAAGAATTTGAAGTTTTTGTTTAGTATTTTCATGGTGTATTATATTGGTGTCGTCAATAAGTATTTTCTCATATTGTGAAGGGGGACATGGATATGTTTTTAAATGTTGTGTAGTAGAAACTGTATCTGACAAATGGAGTGTAAGACAATGATCTTGGAGGAGATTGAAAGTACTTGGGTTAACAAAAAATATGCCACCTTCCTTGATGAATTTCAACTTAACATCAAGAAGATAATTAGAGAACTAGAAAGGATTATTACAAAAATAAATACACATAATATGTCTAT